ACCCCAGCCACTCACCAGGAGCTGTATGGTGACCAAGCACCAAGCCTGCTTGGGCCTTGGGTCCCAGTTACAAAACAGGAGGGCAGTAGCACCTATCTCAGTACTGCTGGGAGGGGCACAGCCCGCAGAGTTGGCTATCACAGCCCACCACAATGCCGTGCACCTGACCCCAGGGGCTGTCCTCCCAGAGCCAAGAGAAGATCCACGAACAGGGCAGACACACCAAGAACTCCATAAATTCCCAAACCTGGCAGCAGCAATACTAACGACGCCCTGGGTTTAAAAGAATTACCTTATCCATCCGATCCTTCTGTACTCCATATTTTCCACCAAATCCTTTGGAGTAGTCTGAAATGTGTGAAAACACAACACTTACTCTGAGGTTGTGGACAGGCACAGGGCTGACAGCAGATGCATGCAGACAGATCCAGAAACGGCCCAAGAAAATGCACCCAGAGCAAAGAGAAACGAGAACCACCAAACGAAGAGTGTCCACGTGTGAGGCGAGTTCTGTTTCTAACCATGGCATACGGCACACAGGCAGGTGAGGGGCAGCACAGAGGCCGTGGGCATGCTTTCGGCATTCTCCTGAAGGACGGGGCAGAAAGGGTGATGGGCGGCAGGCGGACAGGAAGTAAGCGAGGAGAGAGGGCACAGGACAGGCCTTTGCAATGCGCCACTTCAATAGCACAGTCTTCTGCACCAGCCCACGGGTGGTTTATGCTCATCTGTCTCCTGTGCTCCTGTTCTACTGAGCACTAAAAAGAGGCTCAATCGCAGTTTGTTCTCTTGCTTTTTAAAAGAAAAAAACAAAAAACAAAACTCCATGTGGAAATTCTACCAGCCAGATCCTTCTGTTGCAGCAACACAGATCCACATGGACGTCACACTGTCATGCAGCATCAATGCCACGGAGACCCGAAGGCCATCTCCATGCAGTCTGCTGGGCCAACCTGAAGTGCGTGTACCTTCCCACGTCCAGACACTGTCGTGTCTCTAACACGGGGCTGGAACCCTAAAATCTGCCCTGCGAGATTAGGGAAGTGCTATCTTCCCGATGGTGTGTCCGGATTCTTTAACCAAGTCCAACTTTGAAGGTAATGAAATAACTGCTTTAAGGAAAAATGTATTAGGCATTCAGACTCCCGTTATGGGTCTCTTCTCAGCTTTGTGTACACACTGTGTGGCTGTGTGCTGACATTACACATAGACGGTGTCACTGAAAAAAACCATTCAAACCAAAAACCGTCCCAGAAAACAGCATCACAAATGAAACACAGAAACCACACAGAACAAGCCTATCTCACAGCTCTGGCTGCTACCAACGCCTCTGGTCTAAAGGCCAGTGGTCTGGTTGAACCCAACATTCTTTCCTGGTCTTGAAGGCAACAGGCCTGACTCAATTACTCACAGTAGGCCCGGAGAGCAGCAGGGCAAGCCCGTGCAGAATGTTGCTGGAGACCAGATACCCTGTTCCAGAAACGAGATGTATTACAGGGTAAGAATGCATAACCAACCAACCGTGTTACTCTAAAGGATCATAGGGAAAAAGTGAACGTGGGAAGCAAGGGGTACAGTTCCAACTTAGTATCACTCAGGCACAAAACAAGGATTAAAATGGCCCACAGCCCTATCGGCTGACGGTCAGGTGACGTGGGAAGGCTGTGTTGTAGGCACCAATGGTGAGCCCTGAAGTCTGTGCTAGAAGTGGCTGCACTGAAAGAGGGGAGGGAGAGGAGGCTAGTGGGCAACTGTGCCTTGCTGGGACTCGTGCTTGGCCAGTTTCTCCTTGTAATCAAACCCCACAGCAGAGGAGTCCTGCCTCTCGGACTGAACACCAAATTTGCCTCCGAAACCAGTCTTATAATCTGAAAATCCACAAGCGACAGTGGGGAAAACAACCAAGAAAGGAAACACAAGTTGGGTTAGAATTGTATGAGCATGTGCAATCATCAAACACACACTTTCCAGACAGCAAGAAAGAGCTCTGCCAAGCTAGGGCCTTAAAGATCCAACTCCCAGTCACAGTCGGAAGTTAGCTTGGGAGGTTAAAGAACAGACTTAAGTCTGAGCACTTCAGCCAAGATCTGGAAAAGGCTAGGAACTCCATTAAAATAACTCAGTAAAGTCACTCCATGCTTTGAGATTCATTTCTAGGGTCCTACCCACGCTGCAGACAAGAGAGCGCATCTCTGTGTGTGGGGAGAGAGAGAGACATCAGACACAAAGGATTACACGGCACACGTAGCAGCCCTGCTTCTTCCTGTCTGCAAGGCTGGGTGTGTCTGACCCCAGGTTTAGGGCTGTGTCACAAGAAAAGGTTCTTAGGCTCCTCAGAGTAACTGTTCTAGGGATGGGTGAGAAAAGAAGTATCTCCTGTCACAAACCATAGCCCATTTACTGGACAAGAATCCGTGAACCAGAAACACTTGCCCCTGTGCAGTATCCCGAAGGTACCCCGGCAATGACCCGTGTTTCCTACACACAGGTACACCCCGTCTCCCTGCTGCCGCAGACCTCATGTGAGAGGAGGAGGGCATCACTAGACTACCTAAAGGGTTTCAAACTGTGGGAGGCACAGGACAACTTCAAACAGTGAACACAAAACAATACTGTAACAGAAATACAGCAAAAACAAAACATGTCGATGGACTCAAGAATGAACAGAAACACACTGTAGCACTGAGCTTGAATAGGGGTAGTCAAAGTGAGTATACCTTTTTGGGATTCATGCAGCTGCAACTTCTCCTGGTGATCCCAGCCAAGGGCACATTTGTCTTGTCTGTCTGTCTGCACACCAAATTTTCCTCCAAACCCTTTCACATAGTCTACATGCACAATAAAAGGCCATAATCTAGCATTAACTAGTAGTCTGGATCATGGAAAGAATGTTTACAATACAGTTAAACAGACACAATTCAATAAACCCACCCTTTCTCTTCTGGATCTCAGGTGCCACTTTCGGCAAAGTCACTAAGAGGACCACCTCAGGGAGTGGCCAGAAAATAACCTAGTCTACAATCTCTGTATTCTAAAACACAGACAGGACCCGACACAAGCAGCTCTGAAGCATGCGGCTCCCACCAGCACTACGGAGGCAGCTGGTCTCACCACGGACAAACACAGCCGTGCGGTGCGTGGCCATTACGTCAAGCAACACTGCTGGGGTTTGAGAGCCAAGAAAGAGGGCCAATGTTTAACTTCTTATTTAACCACTGTGTTTCTGGATTTGCTGTTTGAAAGGTGAACATTTAATTAAGGAGTATCTACTTGGAGGGTTGTCAGTAATGCACGGATTTTTCCTTTTCTGTTTTGGCCAACACCTGTCACATTAACACTTGCAGGCTGGAGATAGAGATAAAATGGAAGACACCTTTCTGGGACTCGTGCTTCTCCGTTTTGCCTTGATACTCAAAGCCGACAGCGCTTTTATCCACTTTGTCCTTGTCAATTCCATATTTGCCACCGAAACCTTTGGAGTAATCTGAAAACAAGAAAATCACCACTTAAAACCGGCAACGAAATCAAAGAATATGCCGTGGGTCTTTGTGTTATGAAGGAGATATTAAGAAAGTATTTTATCACTAAACTTAAAAAAAAAAAAAAAACCCAGAAATGAATCCTTCAGGCTTATTGTAAGTACCAACAGTAACATGATATTTAACGGTATTATTTATGTGCAGTATTAGAGTGGTAGCATGGCAGATTAATAACCATAGCATCATCCCTCCATTCCCAAAGATAACATGGAAAGGTTGTATGAAATGCTAATTTATTAGGAGGTTTCAGAGATCAGGAAAAGCCATAGCACTTCAGCTATAAAAGGTCACAGTCTGCTTCACAAACTGAAGCGAAGGTGTGCTGGGAAGGACCTTCAAAGAAACAGGATAAATACAGGGCATCTTCTAGAAACATCAGTTCTACTAAAGTCAAGTCATTTAAAATGGGATTTTGAGGGGCCAGCGGGTGGCGTGGTGGTTAAGACTGCTGGACTCCCACATGGCCGACTGCAGTTCAAATTCCAGACCTGGCAGCTTGCTTTCTCACTTTCTCACTCTCTCTCTCACTCTGTACCTCTCCAGTCAAATTTCAATAAATAAATAAATAAAGTTAAATAAAATAAGTCTTTAAAAAATGTGATTTTGATACTAAAGCATGAATCACTCAGAAACACATTTGCGGTATGGAATGTGGAGATCAAATCCCATGAGGAGGCCTGAGCCACCTGAGGGACTTTACACTGCCCGAGTAACCAAGGCCTGTGCTCCACACTGCCAAAGGCACATGCTTTTTTGATTTTTTAAAAATTTACTTCTTGGGACCAGCAGTTAGCGTAATGGCTATGTCGCTGGACTCCCATGTAGTCGAACTGACACTCCACAGACCTGCTCCACAGAGCACTGTGTTTTACTGCTGCACCATGACCTGGCCTCTAGAGGGAAATGTCTGAACTCCGTTGAGCTGCACCAAATAGGGTTAAAACTCACACCGGGCGCGTGTGCGTGCGTGCCCAAGATCCCGAGAGGAGAATGGAGGAGAAGGGATTGTGACGTGGCCATCCCCCCCGGGGGTGCTTTCTCGCTTTCTGTCTCTCTGTCTGTCTGTCTGGCGAGCACACACACCCAATAGCAAAAAAAAAAAAAAAAATTTTTTTTACTTCTTTCAGGACCAGTAGACTATGTAATGGTTACATCGCTGAACTCCCACATGGCCGACCATGATTTGAGTCCCGGATCCAGCAGCTTAAACTTCACACTGGGCATGTGTGCATGCATGCCCAAGATCCTAAGAGAAGGGACTGTGGCACAGCCAGCCCCCCTGGGGGGTGATTTCTCACTTTTTGTCTCTTTGTCTCTGTCTCTTTGGCAAGTGCACGTGCCCTATAGCAAAAAAATCTCTCTTAGAAAAAAATTGTTACTTTTTACAGGTTTGTGGTCACACCCCATTGGGAGAGGGTGCTTTCTCCCTCTCCCTTTGTGTCTCTTTTTCTGGCAAGAGCACAAGCCCCAGTGGCAAGTTTAAAAAAGAAGTTTACTGGAGCCAGCAGGTAGCATGGTGGTTAAGGCACAGGACTCCCACACAGCTAAACATAGTTCAAGTCCCAGACCACGCAAGTTAAAAAATCACACCAGGTTTGTCTGTGTGCATGCCCAAAATCCTGAGAGAAGAATGGAGAAAGGACTGTGGCGTGGCCATCCCGCCAGGAGCTGATTTCTCACTTTCCTTCTCACTGTCTCTCTGGTGAGCACATGTGTCCTATGACAAAAACTTTAAAAAAGGAAAAAAAAAGTTTACTCCTTCCATGAACGAGAGAAACGGAGTGAGCATGTTCACACATGCGTGCACTTCCAACAGGGTCTCAAAGATGTCATCCAGTCCCAGGCTTAATCCAGCTCCACATCTGGGTACACACGTGCCCCTGTACTCAGGAAGATCTCCAAACGTGAACTGGCACTCCACAGGCTGCTTCACAGAGCACTGTGTTTTATTGCTGCACCACGACCTGGCCTCTAGAGGGAAATGTTTAAACTCCTTTGAGCTACACCAAATAGGGTTGGACAGCAGTCCTGAGGGCACTGCACACACGGACCAAGGAGTGAAGATTCGCCCCAGAGAAGAAAGTTAAGTAAACCCATGCAATGAGCAGAAGCTAAAAACTCCCCAGCCAAAAGAGGCACCTGAAAGAGGCAGGCATGGAGGCTGGGTTGCCCCACAAGCCCACTAGTAATATTTACTGGGCAATGTCAAGTCAGCACAGCCAGGACTTCCAGTACTAGTCTGTTCTGTTTTTAAATAAATTTGGGGTTGGGACCATCAGGTGACACGGTGGTTCAGACACTGGATTCCCCATGGCCAAACAGAGTTCAAGTCCCCATTCCAGCAGCTTAAAAATCACAATAAATAGATAAGTAAATAGATTTTTTTTGGCTATTAATTTTTCTAAAAAAGAAAAAAAAGAAATCTGGGGGGTTTGTAGAGTTGAGCTAAATTTTCAAATATTGACAATTATTTTACATTAAATGTGCAGCCAAATAAAAAAGAAACCGACAGGTCACCTCTATGGCAAGGGGTTGAACTGTTAAGACAATCTCCATGAACACTTCCTCTCATTGGGAAGTTTCTAGAAGTGACTGTTAACAGAGAACTCAGGGTGCAGGAAAATCAGGATAGACTGTAAGGACAACTCGGTGGTTCTATTAACATTTTCAACTCAAGGGAACCAGCAGTTAGCATAATGGCTATGTCGCTGGATTCCCACGTAGTCGACCGCGGTTCGCGTCCTGGACCCGGTGGCTTAGAACTCGCGCCGGGCGCGTGTGCGTGCGTGCCCAAGATCCCGAGAGGAGAATGGAGGAGAAGGGATTGCGGCGTGACCATCCTCCCTGGGGGGTGATTTCTCGCTTTCTATCTCTATGTCTCTCTCTGTCTGTCTGGCGAGCGCACGCGCCCTACAGTGAAAACCTCTCAAAAAAAAAAAAAAATTTTTTTTTTCAACTCAATATCCTTTGACCCAGCAATTCCGTCTCTAGGAACTGAGTCTTCTGACTAATCACTTACAAGATACAGGTATAAAAACATTCACTGCAATCAACTTGTAATATGAGAATATTGAAAATACCCTACATTCAAGAACCAGCAGACCTGGAAGTTAAGGTGCTGGACCCCAGCTGACTGCATGGTTCGAGTCCTAGACCCAGTGGCCATGTGGGATCCAGGAACTTGAGAATCACACCTGGTGCATGTGCATGTTTTCGCAAAATCCCAAGAGGAGAATGGAAGAGAAGGGATTGAGGCATGGCCATCCCCCTGAGAAATGATTTATCACTTTCCTTCTCTCTCTGGTAAGCACAAACATCCTACAATAAAAACTTTAAAAAAAAAAAAAAA